TCGACAGCATGGACGGCGACGAAGCGGACGACGACGACGTGCAGATCGCGTTCATCGACAGCGACAGCGACAGCGACGAAGATCTGCGCGCCGGCCGCGAGGAGCTTCGCGCGCGGCGCGAGAACGACGACGACGACGACGACGACGGCCCGGCGCCTCCAGATGCAGCGCCCGCGGCGCCGGCGGCGCCGGCGCCGGACGCCGAGTCGTCGAGCGACAGCGAGCCCGAGTTCGAGGAGGTCGAGCCCGTCGTGCTGCCCGCGGCCGACGACGAGCCGCCGGCGCGGCCGCCCGCGCCGACCGCGCCGGCGAACGTCGGCGACCTGAGCCTCTTCGAGGCGCGCGCGGCGCTCGACGCGGCGATGGCTTGGGCCGCGGACACCAAGGCCCTGGGCAACGACGCGTTCCGGTCCGGCGCGCTCGAGAACGCGCTGGGCTGGTACGGCGAGGCGCGGGCGAGCCTCGGCGGCTGGGCCGACTTCGCCGCCGAATTGGCGGCCTACGACGCGGCCGGCGGAAGGGAGTCGGGAGCTCGACAGGTCGAGGAGCTGCGCGTCGATCTCTGCATGAACACGGCGGCCTGCCACCTGAAGCAGCGGCGCTTCGCGGAGGTGCTGCGCCACTGCGGCGACGCCCTCGCGCTTGATCCCGCGTGCGTGAAGGCGTGGTACCGCCGGGGTCTCGCGCTCGCGGCGCTCGGGCGGTGCGACGAGGCGGAGACGGCGCTCGCCGAGGCCTGCGCGCTCGACGGGGCGAACAAGGAGATCGCGCGCAAGCTCGCCGAGGTGCGGCGCGCGAACAAGCTCCGGCGGCGCGGCGGGCTCTTCGGCGCGGCGGGCGACTACGCGGCCGAGGAGCAGCGCCGCGCGGCGGAGCGCCGCGCGGCGGTTTTAGGCGCGTGCGTCGCGCGCGCGCGGCTCGTGCTCGCCGCCGCGGGCACGGCGGAGGACGCGAGGAGCGTCGCGGCCCAGGACGCGGCCCGCGCCGCCGTCGCCGGGGCCAAGGCCGGCGACGCGCGCGCGGACCGCGACCGCGAGCTCCTGGGCGGCCTGCTGGACCGCGCGCTCCGCGTCGAGCGCACGCCGGCGACGGTGGCCGCGGGCGCCGTGGCGTCGGACGTCGTGGAGACGCTCGACGGGGTGTTGGCGGAGCAGCTCCCGTTCTCGCCGACGCCCGCGGAGGCCGCGGTGCTCGAGCGGTGCGGCGTCCGCGTCTCCTACGACGACGAGGCGACGTACGGCGCCATGTCCGACGAGGCCTACCGCGAGGCGCGCATGGTCGAGCTCAGCGATAGGATGGAGCGCGCGGGACTGTCCGACGACGAGGCGACGGAGCTCGCGGCGCTCCGGGACGCGTGGGTCGCGGACGCGCGCGCCGCGCGGGACCGCGGCGAGCTCGACGGCGACGAGC